CCCCCCGGGTCCCCTTCCCCTTTCAGCAGTCTACCCCCACAGTAACACCAGATGAGAGTGCTGGATGAAAATACGGCTTGGTACTTTTTGTGTGGCAGTATGAAATAATACGAGTGGAGATGCGCCATTTTGCGAATTTCGAAGCGAAAAGCGATGGCCTCGAGCTCGGCATCAATAACATGGTAGTTAGCGTGAACGGGTGACAGCTCCCCCACACCAGTCGCACAACTTTACGCAAAATCCTCTATTCACAGTGCTTTCCTTTTTTTGTGTGTGGTGGGCGGTGGGGGTGGGGGTCGCCTCCCCTACCTCTTTTTTCTCTCTTCCCAGCCCCACTCTTAACTCTTCCCGCCCCAATTTGTTCCCGAGGTTTCCGATTAGTTGCGGGCTGATGGATTGAATAAAACTGAAGAGCGGCGCGTTTCTTACTGCGTTTCTAAGTTCATTTAGGAAGATCGAGGGTAGGACCATGCTGCGGTACAAAATCTGACCTTCGGGAAACTGCGCCGACCATGTCGTTAGAAGAAAATTTTGTTTATCCGCTTAGGATGGCTCCTCTGCTCACCTAACCTCCGTCCCCCGTGTCCGTAGGTATCCTGTCACGTACGAGGAGTCCTTCAACACGGTGCTGGTGCAGGAGGTGACGCGCTTCAACAAGCTGCTCGCGACCGTGATCCAGTCGCTCGAGGACCTGATGCGCGCCGTGCGCGGCCTCGTGGTGATGTCGGCCGCCCTGGAGGCCGTGGCCGACTCCCTGGCCGCCAACGCCGTGCCCCAGCTGTGGGCCGCCAAAGCGTATCCGAGCCTCAAGCCGCTGGGTGAGCCGGAGGCTGCCTCTGTGGGCCGAGAGTGTGTACACATCAGCTGTATACCCGCGGCCTCGCCTGCTCAGATGCGCGTGTAAATAATTTCAGGCGCCTGGATAGCGGACCTACGGGCCAGGATCGGATTCCTCCAAACGTGGGTTGCGCAGGGCATACCCCCAGCGTTCTGGATCTCGGGCTTCTTCTTCCCGCAAGCCTTTCTCACCGGCACCCTGCAGAACTACGCCCGGAAGCACGTCGTCTCGATCGATACGATCGGGTTCTCATTTCAGGTAACGAACGACACCCCTAGCAAACGTAAAGTTCTGCTTTTGAGAGAGAGAGAGAGAGAGAGAGAGAGAGAGAGAG